GCACCTGCTATCAGAATACAATGACTGGATGGCCCTCAGCAACTTGCCATCAATCCCGTATGCACGAAGTTATGTCCACAGACCGTTGCGTGGGATCCGGTCATACGCTTTCTCTAGGTCCACAAAACACATATACCGGCTGGGCGTACTCCCACGATTTCTCAACAATCTGGCAGAGGGCAAATATATGGTCAGAGGTGCTTCGACCGGGCCGGAAGCCACACTGCTCTTCTTGTACCTTAGAATCAGTGATTGTGCAGCATTTCCAACAGCTTTGCGCTGACGTTTTCTGGATGGCACAGCAACGCAATTTCCCGATAATTAGATCACTCCCAATATTTTCTCTTCACAACTAAGGATTCTGCAGCTTCCGTTTTCTTGTCAACTGGTGTCTTTTAGGCATTGAAGTTTCAAAGACACCTGTTACCACGACGCGCCTTGCTTGCGTGCAACTGTAAATTTAAGATTTATTGCAAGTTAATATATTTTTCATGACGCGGTGCCAGTGTCATAGCATATCATAGCTTCAGTTAATGATGGATTTCTTATCTTGATTAAAAATAGCGGCATGCATGGTGAAGCGTTTGAGTTTTTGAGGCTAAGTAGGGAGAAAAAGACAAGGAATTGGGTGTTCAGAGGAGGTTAATCGAATGAATGCAAATTCGGTTGAATTGGCTTAGGGAGGAATACAGTGCCATCCGTATTTATCTATCAAGAAGACGTGATGCGTTTTGTGGCACGTCTCGCGGTATCGCCTTTGAACGAGATTGGTTTTTTTCCACTGCGAAAGAGATAATCGAATGCTAAAAATAGAAACTGACATTATGACTGTTTGGTCGAAGGCCTGTGATCTGCTGCAGTGACAACAGTTAATGAGTGATTCGCTCGCTTACTAAAGGCCAGCAACGTAGATGGAAAGTTCTATTGAATTAAGATTTTTACGGCAGCAAAGTAACATAAAAACGATTATCACTATTCAAAATATTGGCTGTGCTGTGAGTTTGTCAAAGCTGCATGCGGAGGCATGTGCTGCGATTTTATTGGGAACTTCTACAAGCGCATCAGACGTAATAAGTGCCTGGTGCTTCTCTGACCGTTGTCGAAGTTCGTTCTGTTGAACACTGCTCTCGAAGCAGCAACTCGCTCTGCTCTATGATCTGCTCGAGGTCCGCATCAGTCGGTGCACCCTGCGCCCAGACAGGATTGAGGAAAGAACCAGGCAACGGTGCGTCGTAGTAGTCGTACTCAAAGTCTTGTTCTGTGCCAGCGATACTCATTTCTGACGAATCAGTTCTGAGGTGAGGGTTGCATGTCGATCCGTCGCTGTTGCGGTGAGAAGCGAGCGACAGCTGCCGTCTGAGCGACGAAGGCGTAGAGCTTGTGACAATGCCTGGATTCTGCGTGCAGAGCAAGTTTCTAGAGCTAGTGATCATGAGGTCATTTCGCGCAGTGTCGATGGATTTGCTGCTGATCGCACTGAGACGCGTCGTCTGCGTGATCGTGGATACAACCATTTCCTCAGTTGTTTTCATTTTTAGAACGACGTCGTCGTTTGGCGAAGCTGAAGACAGTTTGTTCGTTGACGCGGTGATCAGCGGATCCGCTTCCTTCCTGAAGTCGAACTTTTCAGACGGGTGGCTTTCACTTTTGTGCATTGCACGATGCTTGGTGCAATTTTTGAACAGTTTGCGCGGAAATTTTTCCCGCGACTGTTTGGCTGCCTGACCACAGGCCGCGTCATGATGTCTAGAGAAGTAGATAAGTTGCAAAAAGGTAAAGAAGATCATGGCAAAAGCCATCACTGCGCAACTGGTCGAGTTGATGACCAAAGTAAAATAGCTGTTCTCTGATCCTATGTTGGTCGAAGAATCGTCATAATCGATGACTGACTCAAACCAGATTATCGAAATTCGCATTTGCTCTTCAGTCACGTTCAGAAGCGCAAAATTTGACTCAGACACATTCGTTGTAATGCCACTGAAATATTCAACGACGCTATCTGAAGGACCGGAGGTTGTGTAAAATTCTACTGTAGAGTCCCGGCTCTCCGAGTCAAAAATGATTGCGTCCTCAGGACGATGGCCGTTCTTGATTTTCACCCATTCGCTGTCTGTCGACAGGTCGAGTTTGATGATCTGCCAACGAATCACTGCGCTCTCTCCTTTGGCTTTTACTTTCCAGATACTAAGATTTTGGCACACGTTGCTGGTAATGATGATATATCCTTCGCCTTCTAACTGGCAACCGCACTGGCAATGAAATCGGTTCATAGTCTGAACGTAATGTTTTCCTGAAAGCAACAATTACGAATCGAGCATTTCCGATGCAACTTCACTTTTTATCATCAAACTCATATCAATATCAACTACTTAGATTGCCTCGCACAAGGTAATAATTTGTTTTATTAAAGGCATGCACAGAAATTGAATATTAGGAAAAATTGTTTTTAAATTTATTTCTTCAATTATGTTGTACTAGCTTCTTTGAACTACGGGATATGGGATCAAATGCCAGTTGAAGCCATTTAAATTACGATTACTAAGTAGTGGTTGTTTTGATGACTCGGTTATCAGCGTAATTTTTTAAAGAAATTTATTTTCGATAGGATATTAAAAGCCTAGTGGTTGTCACGGTGCGATGTCCCCTCTCATTCTCACGCGTTGCAAGCCTGTTCACTTACCTTGGAATGAAGGAAGGAGAAATCGTTAGTATTCGAACCCTCAATCTTTTGTTTGCGAGAATAATTCCCTGTCGAATCGCCTATCCTAAATGTCGATTACAAGCCCATAGGCCATTTAAGAATTGGCAGGACCGCACATGCCCAGGTGTCATAGGTTTTCCTTAATGGAGGTTATCGACCGGAATCGAAATATGTACCAGAATTTTACTCAGATCTTGATCGAGCATATACGCTAGACAAACCTATGCATTTATATGATTTAGCCTTATTTCGTTTAATTCGCTTCGTTTTAAGATCAGTCCTCGAAACATGCAAAGAAGGCAGACAAGACATTTACATGGTGTTCCTAGATCTGGAGAAAGCCTTTGACTAAATCCTGAGGCAAGCAATCTGGTGGAGCGTGAGAAAGAAGCTTGTGCCAGAAAAATGTCAGATCAGGCTTACCAAAGACATGTGCGATAAAGATACAACAATAGTCCGGAGCACATGCGGTGAAATGAAAGAATTCCCTGTGCCGGTAAGAATCTACTAAGGATCCGCACTGAGCCCAATTCTGTTCTCGATGACGATAGACGCAATAACTGAGGATCTGCAGGAAGCAGCCCTATACTGCATCCTCTTTGCAAATGACACTGTGCTGTGCAGCGGAAGCAGGATATCAGTAGAGGCAAAAACAGAGACGTTGAGAACAGCACTTGGGAAGAACGGCCTTCAACTCAGCAGAGGTAGGTCAGAATATATGGCGGGCCATTTCGTGGGGGAAAACAGACTGAAAGCCGTCAGACCAGTGAAAGTAGTTTGGAACTTGCTGCCACAAACTCAAAAATTCAGCTACCTTGGGTCTATCCTACAAGATAATACAGAAATCGACAGCAATGTAAGAAGTCAGTCGAAATAAAGCATGGCTGAAATGGAAACAAGTGAACGGAGTACTGTGCGATGACAAGATACTCATCAAATTGAAGGGAGAAATGTGCAAAGCGCTAGAAAGACAGGTGCCTCTGTCGGGTTATCGACGACACGAGCAACAGCTGAATTCGGTAGGAACGCCAATGCTCAGAAAGATGTGTGGTGTCAGCAGAAAGGACCACATCCGAAACAGCTTCATAAGAAGCACTCCAGGCGTGGCACCAATCTCAGAAAAGCTTATCGAAAGCAAGCTCCGCAGGTTTATTCACGGGTTAAAAGAAGACCCACTGAGTACGTTGAAAACGTGGTTCAGGCACTGATACTTCCGGGAAAGAAATAAAGGGGAAGACCGAAGAAAAGGTGGCACGATGTCGTCAAGAACGATATGAAACTGCGAGGAATCTTTAAAAATGTAACGACAGAAAAATATGGAGAAGGTTGACTCGATTAGCAGACCTTTGCTAAAGAGAAAATGCTAGGAAAAAGAAGAAGCCTTATTTCGTTTAATTGGTTTTGCAATGGCAGATCAGAAATGACGAATCAACAGTTTTCTACGGGATGACAAAAAATAATTACCTTAACTGCTGAAAAAAATGAAACTATATGGGCATGACTCTCAAGACTACTTTAAACTGTTACTTACGGGATATAATAGAATCATATTGATTTATAAACGAACTTAACTTAAGATTAAATGAACTGCGCATCTAAATATTGTAGAACACAATGATATACTCAATGATAAATGAGAAAACATAATGAAACTACTATTAATTTTGCCTTGTCATCCTATAGCTATTAGATTTTGAAAAACGAGCTGTGAATGGCATTATCAGTGACTATGTTAACGCTTGCGAGCAAATTTATTGTAAGAAACGATATTATCAAAGTTATTAGCAGTTAATACTACAGTGACTTCTGATAATGAGTCCGTAATTCACTACGTACGAAAGGAGATTCAGCAAGATCTGATAGGTGCTATTCCTTAAAATTATTAATTTGCGCTGTTCTGATAGGAACAATGAATGTATGCACCACATATCTACTATTTATTGCTATATCTACTGTTTACTGTCCTCTAAATTGTTTGCTTAGATTTTCAAGTCTTGAAAGGGAAGCAGCTTCCTCTGCCCATAAAGTTATCCATAATATTATTAACTATTACGGTTGCCATTATTAGTGACTTATCCATTATAATTATTGTCTTATGAAATAAGAAAACGTACAAACATGCAGTTCATTCTGAATGTTGATTTGGTGCTGTGCTATTTCAAGATTTTCACCACTATTTCAGGGCTACAGAACCAAAATCGGTGCAAAATCTAAACGATTAAGTAAAAAGCACACCGACTACGATATCTATATCGCTCTACAAGTTAATAGATGTCTGGCTCATCTCTCCTGGACAAGTTCTTCGAGTATTGATACGAGCATAATATATTTGGTATACGGAAGCTTGTGCACAGAAGATGATGACTGATTGCCGCTCTGTAATGGATGATCGCGTTCGATGTGAAGGGCGCAGCGCTGTCAACCGATTATCAACTTGTTGTCATCCTCTCCTGCAAACGATGGAGCACCATAGAAAGACCTGACAATAGAATGAACTCGAGAAAAATATGGGAAATATTACTTTCTTCGGATACGAGTGCAAAACTTCCAAACAACATCTCACGACAGTCTGAACATACTTCAGCAATCATAAACCGAAAGGAAGCTTTTGAAAGTGTCTTGCTATGGCCTACTGCCAAGTGCTACCTTGTAAAACTCGCTGAACAGCTGCCTGAGAATCAAAAACCAACTTTCTGGTGAACACCAGAAAGTTCAGCTAGCTGTCAGCGGGATTTAGGCTACAGTCAAAGAGGTGGATTGGATGTAAAGAACCATCGACTCGAATGCAGTACGAAGAGGCACGCAAGGTGGCAGTTAAAGCAATGGTTGAAAACATTGCTGACTCATGGAAAGTGAAGTGCTCGAATCGAAGTTCCAGATGGCAAACAAATTATTCTGGCAATTATTATTCTTTATATATGTATATATGAAGAATAATAATACTCTCTCCATGTATATATGGAGAGAGTACTTTGAGAAACTTTTTAGCCATAATCATGCACAGAGACACTCGCCAGATGAGCATGAAAGGATGGATTAATTATTCGGCTGCTGAAATCGCAGAAATTAAACAAAGTTTAAAAAATGGCAAGGTTGCTGGAATCGCAAAAATCCGTCCTGAGATGTTTAAACATTTATATGAACAAGGCATGCGATTAACACCCGTCTGTCAAACTGCAATGACTAGGAGGGAGACATCAGACGACTGGAGAACTAGTACTGAAGCACCGCTGTTCAAGTAGTTAGATCATGCTGAGTGCTCCAATTATCGAGGCATTACCTTATTGAGCCACACGGGTAAAGTCTACGCAAAGGTGTTGGAAAGAAGATTCCGTGTAATAGCCGACTCATTGATCCAAGAAGGATCCTAAACTGTCGTTCAGGCCGAAGCACCTTTTGTCAAATCTTCGACCTTAGCCAAATTGCTGAGAAATTGTGGGAATTTGTTCATCTTGTTTGCATATGTTTTTTATACCTAGAGATAGCCTATGACCAGATCCGGTGCAACAAGTCATGAGTATGCGGTGCCTGCAAAAATGTGGAATCAATAGTCAGTTGTTACGAGCCATCCAATCACTATTTGTCGATAGCAGATGCTGAGTCAGCTCAAACAGCATGAAGTCGAGACCTTTCAACGTTAGCACTGGTGCCCGAAAAGGGTGCGTTCTGTTCTCTATCCTGTTTGTTTTTTGTGCATGAACGGGATAGTCAGGTGCAGCCATTGGGACCAGTGTTGAGACGACAAGTTTGCTGCCTGTACATGCCTTTGGTTTATTGCCATCTTTCAAACCTGCAATCCAGTGCTCTCCCAGAAAGTTCGCAGGTGAATATGAAGTAGTTGGCATGCATGTGAACGTATCTAAAACCAAAAGTCAGTTGTCTTATCGTTCCCCTTTTCCCTGCTCGCTGCATTTTGTGGATTGAATGTGTATATCCCATAAGGGAGTAGAGAAATTCACATACTTTGGGCTGTGATAGAAAATGCGAGGAAGTGGTGAATCGGCGAATCGGGATTTCCAACGGCTGCAACGGTTTGGATAAGTTTCGCGAATTCATCTAGAAGGGAATGCGAAACAGCCACTACTTGCGCAACGGTTTATCCAAAGCCCTTTGGACGGTCAAAAATTACCCAGAGCAAGAACCTAGACGGATTCTGCTCCAGACTCTAGTTATTTTTTGCTGAAGCTCAGATCCCAGCAAATGAGTGGAAACTTCGGAGACACTGTCTGACGCAACATAAACCGTAACCCGAAGGACAAGCGGTCATCGAAACTGACTTACTGAAGCTAGCAGAACATCGACCGCTGACTTCTGCAGCTGAAAGTCAAATCTGTTCACTCATTCATGAAAGGTTCGTAGGTGCCACTCATAAGGCGGGCTTTCCAGTCAGGATGGCCTGGCATGTACAATAACGAGGAGACATTTGCATTAATCACCGGTACGTCCATGAACAGTTTCGTGACCGAAGGCAAGTGGTTGTGTCCTGTCTGACTATTTCTGTTTTTATATATTTCTCGGAATACCAGCAAGACGAAGCTACAGAAAAGGTGAACAATCTCTGCCCGTTCT